TTTATTATATAACCTATATCATGAAATATTGAGATGTGCAGCATGAAAAAAACAAGAGTCAAGGATAGAGAGCATGTGGCATTGTCACTTGCACCCCCAGATTTGGTGTTCGAACCTTGATACCCCCCCTCCCCTATCCCATTTCTTTCCGCAAATCCCCTTACCATACCCCTCCATGAACTTCCAAAAACCAAAGGAATGTCTCCCAACTCAGCCATTCCTATTCAAATTGTCCAAAAAAGAAAAAAAAGACCCCCACCTAGTTTATGGTGACTTCATGCAGCGAGCAAGTTGCTGTCAAAATTCTATCAACACACTTTCATCACTTCAGAGAATGAACCCATTCTTGTGCAGCAACCAATTTCTAGCTTTACATGTGAATGGTGTTACAGCGAAAATGTTTTACACAAAAAGGCATATTACATTAGAAGTATGAGTTGTTTGACGAACATCAATGTTCTCAGTAATGACGATACAAGAAACTTGGCAGACAAATGCTAACCAAGCCATTGCTCGGCATGACGCTCCCCACTAGCCCCAACAGAATGGCGAATGCTGATTTTCTCACTAGCATATTTCTGCTGGAGCCACTCAAAAGCATTCACATCAAGTTTCCCGGATACTGATTTCCCTTGCTTCCGACGAATTTGCTGTTCCCGAACAGAAGCCCACAGTTTCTCAATAGCAACCCTCTGTTTAGATGTAAACCTGGCTACATTATCAAACGCATGCTTCACCAAGATATCTATTACTGTCTGGCACCTGAGAAGGGGTAACAACGGATCAAATCATCAAGCAACAATTCTAACATATGAAATTAAAAGGTTTCTTTCCTTTCTACCAGTAGTTAAAGCCTATAAACTCTTACCATGCAGTTTTGTAACGTCGTGCAGCAATCTCTAAACAAGTAATCAAGGCTTCTCTTTGCAACTTGAGAAATGTCTTAGTTTCCTCCTCATCCTCCTTCTTGTTCTTGACTGTTGCATCTTTCTTCCCCTTTGCTCTATCATCTTTCTTCCCTGCACTCGGAATCAAAGCATCAAGCCCAAATGGATCAGACTCATCCTTTTTCTTTTCTTCATCTGGAACCTGCTCCTTTTGACTATCTCCACTGGCATTGGTAACCTCTGTCTCATGACCCTCCTCTTTCAGGATGGCAGCTTCTTCAACATCATCATCCTCAGTTGCAATTGGAAGGGTTGATATGGTATCTTTTAGTTTACTAGCCATTTTTGAAAACTATAGGAAGGTTCAAAAGACAAAATATGAGCAAACTGCAATTCATGCTGAAAATTTGCATGGAAAAGGTTGAATACTAGAATCCCCATGTCAACAAACCATTACATGTCAATCATCATACCTTCAGCAAAACTCTATTAAAAATTTAGTAATTACTAATTACCAGAAAATAAGTTCTCAAAACCACTGAAGAAGTAACAACAGTTTGGCCATCAGCCAACCACAGTATCAAGAATCACAACCTTGTAAAGCAAAGAAGCAAATGTTAACAAGTACACATGTTAGGCACAAGTATTTTGGTCAACCAAACAAATTTCAGCATAAGCAAGAAAATGTGGCCACACAATAACTGTCGCAACAGCACTCAAAAAGCAAAGCACACTCCCAAAAACCACATAAAATAGCATTCAGGATTTTCTACAATTGTCTATAACTCACATCCACATTTAAGTAATGCTATTGAATTGAATTTCACAGAAGATGTTGGTCCTCAAAATATCCCAAGTCTTCTTCATCCGACAAAAATTAAGCATCATCACTTCCAATTCCAAAAAACTACTTGGGTCTCTGAAAGGGCAATTTATTTTGTTCAATTAGCACTCTCTAAATCCATAACATTTCTATTTTATTTCTATGAAAGAATTTTCAGGTATAAATTTTTATTGTGAGACTAGGGATTTTCACATAAATTATTCACAGGGAATCATATACACAATCTTCCACTACCGTAAAAAATAAATAAGATATCCTCATCAACCACTAAGGCGCTATATGATTCAAGAGATTGAGGGTTTATCCTGTTCTCTAATACCACCACTTTTTCTGGTAAGTTGCACATTATCTAGCACGTTCTATATTATAAAAGTTAACCATATAATTTTTGAAGGTATGACCTCCGCAGAATGCACATAGTAGAGTACATGGAATGAGAGAACCATGCACTTCCGTCATTAAAATGAAAGTTGTAGAATAGATATTTCACACAATTTAAGAGAATCATATATAAAGCTAGGACGAATCATGAACCTGGAGAGAAACCCAAGATGCATCAGCAAGAAACAGATTTCAAAGGACAGTTAGAGTTGCAAACAAGAAAACAGATTGTTACACATCAAAAGAAATGAACTTTAGAACATTGCTTCTTTTCTTTTCTTTTCCTTTTTTTTCTTTTTTTTGGGAGGGGGGGAAGGGGGATCAGCTACTTTATAACATTTCTATGACACAGTGTTTGCTGACCCATTACCTCAATGTGAATAATAAAATTAAAAAAAGGCTACGTCTACTTTTAAGTTTCTGATATTCGAATAGCACAACTCATAGGGAAACAGGTATTGTGACAAGTGATGGAGTCTCTTACTTCTTCATAAGTGATCTGCACATTTCTATCACAAACATAGTGATGCAACAAATAAATGAAGCTGACTTAATATAATCAAACAAGTATTCATGCCATTCTGTGGATTCACACATAATTCCTAATGTACTCCAGATGAATAGCATTTCCAGAACGCGACAAAGATTATTTGGTACCATATTAATAGAATAGATTGACAAAAGGAAATATGCACCAACCTTTCTATCAATATCATTTGATTAATTAAAAAATATGAAACTAAAGCCAAGTTTTAGAATAAAAGGGATAAGTAATAGAAACAGTAATGCCAACACATCCAAACATAATACACTTGAAATCCTCAAAAGCCACACATCTTGAAATCAGTGCAGCATAAATTAACTGAAAAACTCATTGCATACCCCTGCACAATTTTGCTATCTTGATATACACAACAAAAGAATATAAGTTCACATTTATTTTGTTTCAAATTAATGAAAGTAAGTGCATACCACAAAGCTGTCATCAGTGAATAAGTCGTTTGCTACGACTGCCCTAAGAGTCCATGCCGTCAATAGGTTCCTCTGCTTCTTGTTAAGGATCTACAATTAAAAAGAAGAAACAATAAGATAACGCTCATATCTACATTTAAAGTACCTACGTAACACAAAGATAATGTAGAATCTTACTTCAGCTGCATCTTGTGCTGCTGAGAACAATGCATGATAATCGCCTTGCACTGATGGATCATTACAAGAAGTTGCTGATGACATTGCAGCTTCTAGGATAGCAAAGAAGTGATCACTAGTTCCTGGCTTCACACTTCCAGCCTGGATCAGCTGTATGGCAAGCTTTGAGGCCTTTGGAAACTTTGTTGGGCTCTTAATATGGGATGCAATCTTTTGCATTGCCTCAATAACTTGTGTCTCTGAGGCATCCATTGTTGTTTTAAACCTCAGACGCTTTTCTGGTGCAGTACCTGGGACTGACAGATACATAATTTAACTTCTTTTGGAAAGGAAAAATTTTCAATCTGAGTATTAAACAAATAAGTAAACAGGTAACACCATGTCATACAAGTATCCTCTGCTGTTTTTCTTATGCTTTTGTAGTTTGGTTCTGTTAAACTAGATAAAAATTTTCACTCAAGTACACCCAAGAGTTTCATTATGATAAGTTTTCCTCTCTAAGGTACCATCTAAAATTGGCCAAAAATAGTTACCTCATGATAAAAGACTATGATTCAAAACTCATCCTTCTTCATTCAAAGATACTTTACAGCCATAACAGACTAGAAAAATGGGTGGAAAATACACAAATAAAACCGACTTCATATAACCATAAACATCATGAAACTCAAACCAAAGACTTGTTAGTCATTATCAATAGTAAATATTTCCCTTAATCTACAAAAGAATATATTCATTCATAAATATGAAAGCATTTTTCCAAACTTAATGCGAGAAGAAAATGTAAAAACAGCACTTATGAGTTCTGTGAAAGCTGATTCTTTTCATTAGTGAACGAAGCAAGCGAGCAACTCCGCCCTCAAAATCCAAATAATGATGTGTGAAATTCAGCTAATTTTTTTCTACTTAGCTTATCCAATCTCCATTCAGCTCTTTCTTTTCCCACTTAATTATAAGTTTTACAAAATGCAAGCTAAGGAAGGCATAACCCAGAAATTAAGATAGATAGTTCAATCCCATATATACCAATCCAAAAACCCTTTCCTTACTTCCAAGAAGCTAAACCCAGTTCAATTCCAGCTTCACGGGGGAAAGAAAAAGTTACTAAAAAACACAATCATCCATAAGGCGATAAATGAATTGCAAGACCCAGAAATCAAAATCAAAGAAAACTACGGTTAACATCAAACCTTCAGGCTCAGGGATAGATTCCGAGGGTTTGGGTCGCTTGAGGGCGCTCTTGAGAATAGGCTTTGGAGAAGATTCTCTGTGGGTATTACTGCTTGACTTCAAAGAAAAAGGCTGTTGCTTTTGCTCTCCTTTCTCCTTTTCTTCTTGCTGTTCATGTTGGTGTTCATGATGAGAAGGTGGTGGTAACCCTTCGAACAAATTGTCAGCCATTGCTCCTCCACTCTTGCCCAAACCCTCTGCAACTACTTTCAAACCCTAAATTTTCCGGTTACAGAATCACTGAATCAGCAGACTAGTGGAAGAAATTATTCAATTGGTTTCAACTGCGTTTTTCATGAAAAGAATGGTTCAGAGAGACAGGTTTTGTTTTATGGCATTTGGGACTTCTTCTTCTTCTTCTGCATGTTTCTTGTAGCCAGCCCAGCCCAGCCCAGCCCAACCCAGCCCAACCCGGTTTAACATTGGTTTTGGACGGCAAACGGGCTCCAGATTGACCAAACTCCAAACTCTAGTCGTGTAAGAAATCCTTCATCAATGTTTTCCTACACATGGGTTTTTTTTTTTTTCTTTTTCTTTTTTTTAATCTTTTATTATATAAAAATTAAATAAAATTAGTAAAAATATATGAAAACTTAATTAAAAATAATAAATTTATGCTTTTAGATAAAGTGTTATGTAAAATATGGTCAAATAAAGCTTAAATTGAATCATATTTGGATTGTGAGTTATTTTAAAATTAATTTTATTAAAATTTTAATTTTTCAAATTCAATTTATTTGTCACGTTTTTATTTGATGCAATTAAAATAAATAAATAAATAATAGTAATAATAACTTCTAACTTAGTCTCCAACTTATGAATATTGACGAAAAAAGATAAAATGATATCATAATTATATCCTGTGTTAAATTATAATTAATTTATTTTAACTGAATGTAAGGGTATTAATTGTCTAGTTTTGTTTAACTTAAAATTTTAAAAATGTCAACGATTTAAATAATTTAATGTTAATCTTTTTTTACTAAAAATAAAAGATCATGAATTCGAGTTACATAATATGTAAGTAGGGTAGAATAAGAAATAAAAATAAATTATTTTTAATTGTACAACTAACATAAAATATATATATACATACACACGAAGAGAAATTTATTTTAAAAACATACAAAAATTCATTTTAATAATTAGTGAAAGTATAAAAATTAATATATCCTTTTTCCTCTTGTGAAGAAAAGTATATACCCTTTTCGTCCTTTACATAGGTACTTGTGAGGACTAAAATGGTCCAGATACTTGGACCATCAGTGAATTAATGGGCGTACTGACGGGGGTGGTCCGTCCCCCTCAACTTTTGAAAATTTTTAATTTTAGTACATATATTATTTTTTCTTTTAAAATTTTTAAATATTATATTTATTATGTGAAAACTTTAAGTTATTCTCATTTAACTTCTTATCATTTTTATAAATTTTCGTATAACAACTCAAACTAATACAATTTATAATACTTTTATTACAACCATCATTTCAAATACAGAGAAAATATTATGATTTAATTAAATGTTTGGCAAAAGCTGAGAATATCATAATATAAATATGAATTTCCTACATGTTGAATAAATTAAGAATCAAGACTCTTAATTAAACCCAAAGTCAAAGATCTCTTCCTTTAAGATTCTGAATTTTCTTAGAATTTTATATTTATTTTTCGTCTTTTATTTTATAAAGTGATTTGATTGTTGAAAACTTTAATTGATAAAAAGGTTTGAGTTTTTATTTAATCAATGATTTCAGTTTCTAAGTATTGAGTTACATGTTCCCTCTTTCATATTATTATTTTTTGAGATGGAAAAAAAATAAATTGTAATAGACAAATCAGTGAAAAAAAAAGATAGACATTTTGGGATGGAAAGAGTAAATTTTTGTTGTTTAAATCATAGTTGATTCATTGTACGAGTATTTTCATGTGAGACATTATTTCTTTTTTTTTTTTAAATGATTCATTTAATTAAAAAAAAATTACTAGAGATAGGAAAAGGAAAATACATTCATTTTTTTAATTTTATAAAAATTCTTAAGAAAATTAACTAATATCATAAAAGATATTTAAGATTCAAGTTGTTAATAAAAAATTTCAACCCCCCTCACTTTATTTTGTGGCTCCACCTCTCAAAGTTGGACATTAATTAGTATTTCCTCTAATTCAACTACTATACAATACATTTATTAAAACTTATTATTTTTTGCTATAAAATTAAAAACAGATAAATTTAAATATGTAACTATACATACAACATGTAAAAATTGGCTAAATCAATTGTATTTCTATCATATTTTAATGACTCAATGGGGAAATGTATGTTGAATTATAAAGTAAACTAATCACTTTCTCTGAAAGTTAGTGCTTACAGATTATATTCACTAATTAATAAGTGTAGGTTAGATTAAGAGTTCAAGTTTTGGAACTAGTAAAAAACGTGATTTTTTTAATAAATTAAACTGATGTGGATATTGGCCAAGGGAATAGCTCTTTCCATTTTTAGTCATCTCATATGGAAAATTATCTATATACATTAAGTTTAATGTACTTTTTGACACTCATCCTTACTTAGCGATTAAAATATAATATAAATAAAACTGATTCAGTCGGTTTCTGCATCATATATATATATGATTGCATTTTTAAATTTATTTGCCTTTAATTTTATACTAAAAAATAGTGATTTTGTTAATAAGTATGTTGTATAATATGTTAAATTAAAGTGTATATCAATCAATGTCTTATCTTATATACATGTCTAGCATGATTAATGCATTCTTTAATGGCAAAATGTATAAAATTTCCACCCAATATTTTCAAGTTGAAGCAAATAAGCATCCAATAAAAATGTTGAAGCAAATTGTCATTTTAAAATTTCATTTTAGATAAATTAACTTAAATTTAATAGTTGAAGTTAATTTTCTAGTAGATTCCAAGTGGAGTAATTTAAAGAAAAAATAATTGTGTTAACATACATAACTTGTTAAATTAAAATAAATTTCTTTAAAATGAAATTTTAAAGTTGCAATTTACTTAACTTTCTTTTTTTTAGTACTAACTTGCTTCAACTTATAAATATTGAGAGATAATTTGAAACTAATTGTTAATAATTTTATTTAATTTAATTATTAATAATAATTATGATTAATTTAAATACAATTATTTAATAAATTAGATAAAATTATAAACCGTTATTTCAAACCACTCTTAGGAAACTTTAAATTATATGAAAGGCAGCCTCTCGGTTCATGATGGAACTACACCTCAGCCTGATCCTGACCACAGCAAGTGCTTGTTGCTATTGGGGAAAATTCTACGCGCGCAACATTTATTATTATAGTATCATAGACAATATAAGGTGACAACTAACATGACATATAACCTTTTATATAACTTTTTATATTTGAGGAGGAAAATTTTAAGTTTGAATTAAGGGTGTATTTGTTATATTATCTATAATTAATTGATATTAAAAAATTAAAAAAAATTATTTTATTAATCATTTAATTAAAAGTATATGTATATGATATTAGTAATAAAAATAAAATTAATTTTATAATTTTTGTAAAAATTAAATGTAAAAACGTATAATTAATATCTTTTTAATGTATCCTTATGACATACTTTAGATAAATCTTTCAAATTTTTATTTATATAATATTATTTACACCTATTTATTTAATACATGAAGATTGTGAGTGTAGTATCTTCTGTTTAAGTCCTCCTGGGAAGTCGAACAAATTCAACTAGCGAACCATTCACGCAAAAATTCAACAAGCTAAAATTAAGCTATGTTAATTTCAGTTTTCATTTTAATTTCATGTGTTCGAAGAAGTGGGAAATTCAAATTAGCGAATTCGAATCAAGATGCGACGTTTATATATATATATATATATATATATAAAAGGTAGACATAGCTTATATTAGAAAATTGAAATGAACCTTTTTGTTTGGACAACCACAAGTCAATAACTAAATTCAATATCTACCTAATCAATATGATTAAATATGTTGTTTGAATTAGTTATTAGAGAACAACTATAATATTTGAACGAAAAATTGGATCTTAGCCAGTATTACAAAGTTTTAGGCAGAATCATTTAATGAAATGGTGTCGTCTTGTGTCTAAAGCACTAAAGCACTTTTTCATTCTTTTTATTCCTTATCTTTCCTCTTTCTCATTCGATCCCTTTCAGCACATAAGTACAAATTATTTCACTTTCATTCATTTGAAATTTTTCTTTTTCATCTATGATTTTCCCTTGGTTTGCTTGGTATTCCCTCTAGTTGAGATTTCCACTTCTTGCTCTTTCTTTGGTTGGTTCCTTTTCATCTTGTACTCTCTTTAATTGTTGTAATCTCTCTCTTGAATAGAAGGTTGCTCTTTTATTTTGATCTAGTCCCATATTAAAAGTTTCATCTCCAATTCCTTTGCTTGATGAATATGACAATGAGTTAAGTGTGGTTGCTGCAAAAGGGATATGTTGCAAGTAGGTCACACATTGTCCTCCAATACGGATGAGTTGCATTTTATATGCTTTAATTTTTTAATATAGCCTTGATTTTGTTATTATTTGGATAGATAAAATGTGATTTTCAATTAATTTTATATAATTTTCATTGTTTGTGCAGAAAAGAACTTGAATGCATATAATAGAAGTTTTTGTACTTAATTGAATATCTTTTTAACGTTGAGGACTGAATTGCAAGAAGAAAGGTTGCTTTCAAGGACCTGAATGAGTGAATTCTAAGCTATAGGATCAAAATCCATTGAAGAAATTGCAAAATAATTCAAAAACCCGACACAGGTTTGGTGTCAACACTACCTAGGACGTGTCATTACTGGGCATTAAGCCTTTAAAAGATAGGCCCTAGGCCCCTAGTGAAATATACAAAAGTACTGACACCTAAGTTGTGGTATCGATACTTTAAGCACTTTCAGCTTTAAGAGTTCCCATTTTTATCATAGGCCCTACTTCTTTTCTAATATGGTCTCTTAAACTCTATAAATACTTATTTAAAGTTTAGATTTTAAGAGATTTTTTATGTCAAATATTCTTATATTTATCATGAGATATTTGAATTCATTTCTTTAATTATGAACTAATTTAGTCATCTAAGGTTAAGATATAACCTTGTCAATTTGATATAGAATTTTGTAATTTTTATACTGCAAAGCTTATTATTTCATATAAGGTATGTATTATTATTCTAAATGCTTTTTAATGATTGGCCACCATTAAAATTCATTTCAAGAGTATAATTGAGATTAAGATGAGATTTTATACAATAATTTCTAGTAATATATATCATAAATTGAATAAAAGTCAAAGATGGACTAATGTAATTTATGCAACATTAGTAATAAATAGATTCGAAATCTTCTACATAAATTAAGGAATTTTACAAAATATAATGCATATTTATCTATTTAAATTCACAAAGAGATATAGTGAAGTAATATGTAAAGATCTATTTTGTATAACTTAATTAGAAAATATATCAAATATGTTAGGAAATCCCACTATCACCTTGAAAGTATATTAATCTAAATTCTATATTTGTTGACCATGTGGTGAAATTGGATGACTTAGAAATCCAACTCTTGGTGTCACTTGAAGCCAAATTATTTTTCTTTAATTAGTTTAGTTAATTAGTTCACTTAAGTTTTTTTATTGTTCAAATAAAATTAAAATTAGTTACTTTTGATATTTAATTAATTTACAATTTCAATGAGCCAATATTTAATTCTCATCATTTTATATTACTTGAAGTGATAAATACTCTGGGTAGAGTGAAATTAACTCATCAAATACAATCAAGCCAAAGATAAGAAAGAAAAGAGGGGAGTTTAGACACAAAAACGGTGTCATTTCATTAAATAGTTTTGCCTAAAAATTTGTAATACCAACTAATATATCCAGTTTTTCCATATTTGAATTATAAATACCTACAAGAATTTGGTTAAATTAATGTATACTTACTTAAAACTCTTAATTTGATAGTAGAATTAAAGATTCAAATTTTTATATTACCAAACAACTAACTTTTCGTTATATTCTAAAAAAAATTTACTAATAACAAAAACAATTATTTAAAGTGGACTATAGATTGTAAACTAATAATTGCATTTGAATTGCTAATTTAAATAGGGTAAGTTCCATTTTTCAACCTTGACATTTTTTATATTACACACCTTTGTCCTTAACCTTTATTTTGAGCCAGCCTTCCTCCCCAACCTTTCTTAAATTGCCTATCGATAATCCTTCCGTGAGAAATGGCACGTTAAATGCTAATGAAATTGCTGATGTGGCAAATAATGAACCCACAACCGACGCTTTAAGCAGAAAAAAGCTGATCATTTGCTTTTTTATCATAAAATAATTTTGAAATAATTTTTTATTATTTTTTTAAATAATTTAACGTATTATTTAAATAATTAATTTTTTTAATTTATATGATATTCATAATATTAAATATATTTATTTATATGATATCCATAATATTAAATATATTTATTTATTTAATAATATATAAAAATTATATATATAATAATATAAATAAATTATCCATATAACACGAATCATTTCTCTCACC